CGTCGGGCTCCCGGTCGCCCAAGTCCTGGTAGCGAGCTCTCTGAGATGCTCGGTTCGTTCGGTCGGCAGGAAGAGCCCCCCAGTTGCGACTTCGTTTATGTTAGGAGACCAACGGGCATAGATCCCGTCTAGTTGGAGCGCCAAACAAGCGCTGTTGCGTGCCGGCCGTCGTTTCCCGTGCGGCCTGACCCGGGGGCGGAGTGCATGAGACTAACCAGCCGTATGCACCCGCCCCCCGCGCTGTGCTTCGGCCCTGGGCCCCCGGCTTTTCAGCCCACAGTGTAATCAACGTCATACATACATACATACATACATACATACATACATACATACATACATACATACATACATACATACATACATACATACATACATACATACATACATACATACATACATACATACATACATACATACATACATACATACATACATACATACATACAAGCATGTCTCTTAGGGCCACGAGGAGGACAAGAGGAAGGGAACGAGAGCGAAAGTTCAGAGGAAAAATAAAGGAATAAAGAACAAACATTCAACATGGAGTGATGAAGTCCTCAACGGGTTTACGGACTCTCAAGCGAAGTAAACGATGTGAAATGCGAATGTGAAGGCTGAGCACACGAAACTCCTAAACCCGCCTATACCCCCTGGAAAACAATTAAGGTTACACGTTAGGTCGTACATTCACGTCCATTGGCAAGGTAACGGAATGAGAAGCAGCGCCGCCGCCACCGCCGCCATCTCCCATCCCTTACTGCCCACTCACCCACCAGGCAGATGGCGAGCGGCAAGCTGGACACTGATCGCTGCTTGCGTTTTCCGTTGGAAATACACACACCCTCACGTCCCCCTCTTCCACCCCCGCTAGCCCCGGTGGCGGCCGGGGCCGTTGACTTAACCACCGACGGTACGGCATAACCCGATGCCGTGGCGGGTACGGCGACCGTACCCTCCTTGCTCAATGCGGGAATTTTGGGTTGAGTTTCATTGTGGAGGTGGCGGGGGTGAAGGGAAGAGGCGTTGGGTGGTGTTGGCACACAGGTGGCAGGGGAGGTGGTGGTGGTGGTGGTGGTTACGGCGGCAGCGGCGGCGGGGGTGGTAGTGGTGGTGGTAACTGTGGGATTGGGGGTGGCGGCGGGGGTGGTAGTGGTGGGGCTGGCGGCGGCGGCGGCGGTGGCGGCGGTCGTCAGCTTGACTTGCGGGGTGGCGGGTGCTGTCGTGTCATATTCCTCGCCTTTGTCGTACACCGCTTGCCCCGACGGCCGCCGCAGTAGCGGCGGCGGTGGCAGTGGTGGAGGCTGCAGCGGTGACTGATGCCGTACCGTGGCCCGCGACTGGGGCATGGGGCTTTGAAGTTGGAATTGCAGTACATGCCGCGGCGGCTGCAGTGACGGCGTCGGCGGCGCCGTGAGCGGCGGCCGTGGCGGCGGAGGTGGCGGCACCAGCCCGGACACTGGCGGGACTTCTGGGGCTGTGGAGACGGAGACACCAGGCCCCATTCCGATTCCGATTCCGATTCCAGATCCAGATCCAGTAGCAGCAGCGGCAGTAGCAGCAGCGGTGTGTACCGAAGTAGTCGTGGCTGAGTCAGCATGTGGCATGCGGACAGCGGAAGCTGAGCACCCCCCGACGGCCACATTCGCTACTGACGGTGCGGCTGCCGTACCTGGTCCCCCTGTTACGGAATTCAACGATCCGGTGTCCAGGATCCTCTGAAATGGCGGCGGCGGCGGCGGCGGCGGCGACTGTGCCGGCGGCGAGGGCGGCCCTCCGGAATCGACAAGGGATTCACACTCATCACGAAGCCGTGGCAATATCAGCTTTGGCGGGTCGCCGCCGTCGCCGTCGCCGTCGTCGTCGCCGTCGTCGTCTATAGCATTGGCGCAGGCGGTGCCGGGGACAGCGGCGGTGGCGGCGGCGGCGGCGGCGGCGGCGGCGCTGCTGCCTTTGCACCTCAGCGTGCTGGACACTGCGGCCGGGGCCGGCGCCGCCGCTGCTGACGTCAGCGGTAACGAGGTCGGAGCACTGCCGGACGCCACCGCATAACCCAGGCCTGTTGTACAAGGCGCCGCCGCCGCCGCCGTCGCCGCTGCGGCGGCGGCAGCGACGGAAATGACGTGGCTGAGTGCCGCGTGCGCCAGCAACTGGGCTGGACCCACTTCTCGAAGCGGATGTCGGACGGGCATGACGGAGCTTTGGACGCCGCTGCAGCCGCCGCTGCTGACGCTGCCCCCGCCGCAGCGGCGGACTGCGTGGCTGCCGCTGACGGCGACAGCCTTGGCAGGAGATTGCAGTCTTTGACTTGGCAGCAATTCCGGGGACATTGGTGACTCGACTTCCACCGCAGCCGTCGCCGTCGGGGCCGCCATGTCCCGCGCCGCCGCGGCGGCGGCAATTGCGTTGTCGTACAGCTCGCGCCATAGATGCGGCACGTCCTGACGCGTCACGGACGACGACAGCGACGGCAGTAATGGCGCCGCCGCTACTGCTGCCGCCGCCACGGCGGCGGAGTCTTCCCTCTCTTTTATGGGTGGGACTGCAGCCGGCCCCGTCACACCACCGGGCACCCCGTCCCTCAGCAGCAATGGATCCCGGGTTTGTCCCCCTGCTACAGCTGCTGTAACTGCTGCTACTGCGCTGGCCATATGTTCTGCTGCACTTCCATGTGCATGTGCGGAATCTGCAGCGGCGGCTGCAGCTGCAGCCGTAGCATGAGATCCAACGTCTCCCTGGTCTTGGAGGGGGTCGACGGGGCTTGCTCCGAAACCGCCCGGCGGCGGCGACCCAGTCGCCATCCAGAGTGCAGACGACGGAGCAACCGACAATGATGAATCAACCAAAAGCTGAGAACGGCAACGAACGTAATTGCTTCCGTACGGCTCCGTACATTCACCGCCGCGGCGACGGCTCTCGTCACCACTGCCGCATGTATCAGCTGCAGCAGTAGCAGCCGTACCAGCACCATCCTCAACTGCAATACCCGCTGCCGTACTAGCAGTAGCAGTAGTGAAAGCATCTTTTGCGCCATCGTGGTCCAGTGCCGACAGCAGCAGCTCAGTGTACGACATCTCGTACGGCTCGGGGATTTCCGTCGGCGCGGAGATGCTGCCTTCTGGACATGCGGCGGCGGTCAAGGCAGCGGTAACGGTAATGTTAACGGTAACGGTAAATGCAACGGTAATGACAACGGTAACGGTAATGGTGAGGCCGTACAGTGTACACTATAGTAAGTAACTTACACGCATCGCTGTCTTTGGCTTCGGACTTCCGACCCAATGTACGAATTCCCAACTCCATTTCTTGTACGACAAGCGTGCAACACGACACGACACGACACGACACAAGCGCGATATCGTTTCGTCCAATTATATCCCAACGACGGCTATCTAAGACTAACAAGTTACGCAGAAGATTTACAAGTTATGCACAACAATAATGCGGCGGGAAGTGCCCATCATTATCAAAGCCCCCCGGGGGGCATGGACTAGAGATTCTCCTAAAGGGCAGGGGAGGTGCCGGGTGGGGGTATCTCACGAGCTGATTAATGTTCGGTTAGGTTGTGTGGATGTGTTTAGCTTTTTAGCTAGCTAGCTAGCTAGCTAGCTAGATAGATAGATCAGCTCGCGGGGTACCCTCACACTGCACCTCCTTCCCCCTCCCCACTCACCCGTCTGTTAGACGATGTAAACCCCCCACCCGGACTTTTGGCGGCCCCCATTGCCCACGGACTTCGGACTTTGGACTTCGGACTTCGGACTTTGGACACCGGCAGCAGTTCATTCCTGATTTCCTCCTGGATATAATTTCCCCCCTCCACGGGGACCTCCCCTCCACCCCAAACACACGCACACACATACACACATACACACATACACACATACACATGCACACATACACACATACACACATGCACACATACACACATACACACATACACATGCACACATACACACATACACACATGCACACATGCACACATACACACATACACACATACACACATACACACATACACACATACACACATACACACATACACACATACACACATACACACATACACATGCACGCAAATACACACATACACACATACACACATACACACACCGGCAGCATCAGCCAGCAGTGATGCTTCACGGTGCTGCCGCAACCACCTCAGCATGCGAAAACCTTCCACTCGAAGTAACTGCAAAGTGGGATAAAAGTACGGCATAAAATTTTGAGTACGGCACCGGTTTGAATTATCATGTGGAAACGTTAGCTAGCATTTGGGGAAACGTGATCCCTGCAGTGATAAGGGGCCAAGTCGGAGAATGCGGACGTATACGTCTAAATCGTACCCTGCCGTACCTGCCGTACTGCTCGCCGCAGGTCAGGTCCCCCCAGCTCCGCGCCAGCCAGCGCCAGGCGCGTCGCGGCTCGGAGGACCCGTGATTCGCTCCATCGGCCGGTCCATTGCTCCTCGACGGCGGCGGGATCGACGGCGCCGTCAGCCGCCACCGCCGCGTCGTCAGCCGCGGTTGATCCCACGGCGGCGGCGGCGGCGGCGCTGGATTCGTCGCCGCCGTTGCCCTCTACGTCAAGCTGCCGCCGCCGGGGCCGACCACGCCGCCGATGTTGCACCTGGATGCTAAGGACTGCCGTACCGGCGGCGTCACCGAGATCTGGGTTCCGTACATCAGCCTCCGCCGGCGGCTGTCCGTCGTTGCCGCTGCCAACTATGAGTCTTGCGGTGCCGCCGGTTGCGTCAGTCGCATCCACGTCAGCAACCTTCATCGCTGCTTGGCACTTCCCATCTGCCGCCGCTGCCGTACCGTCTTCTGCCGCCCCCGCCGCCGCCGTCGCAACAATCTGCGAGCGCCGTCGTCGACGCTTGACGCCGCCGCCTGACGCCGCCAGGAGAATCTTCTTGTTGGGTGAAAACGCGGTCTTGAGAAGGACCCTGTCCTGCGTCTCCGAGGGGATCTGTACGACTAGTCTGGTTGACCGGCCCGCCGGGCCAACCGTGCCACACCCGCCGACGCCGACTCCACGGCCTGCTGCTGCTGAATCTGCCGTACCCGCCAGCTCGTACTCCTCTCCTTCTTCGCGCGCACGCTTTCTAGGCAATCCCCCGGCGGCTGCGGTGACTGTGGAAGTAGTGGCGCCGCCGCCGCTACCCTGCATATCCTGCTCCGCCGCCGCCGCCGCCACCGCCATCGGCAATGACGGCGATTCCTGGAGCTCTTGTTGTCGCCGTCGGCGGCGGCGACGGCGACGACGGCCCTCCGCCGCAGCTTCCAGTCTGTTGAGCATGCTGTCCATGACCAGCTGTACGGAACGGGTGATACGCTCGGGCCGTGCCGCCGCCGCCGCTACACCAGCTACCATCCGGTCCATCACGCCACGAATCTATGAGCAGGGTACGGAAGTACGGAGTCAAGGAGAAGCCGTACATCTAGGTGGGTGATCGCATGATGCTGCAAATGTTAATAATAAAACCATTGCGGACGACCGGAGCATCTAATTGAATGAAGCCCGTGATCGTACGAGGCCCCGGACGTTGCCGTACCACTACCACTACCGTACACTGGGAGCCGTTGCCGTACACAGTCGTACAAGCGCCACATCGTCAATCGCCGCCGTACCTGACGCTCTTCGTAGCTCAACGTTGCGTCATCCGACCGGTCCATGGGACCGCCGCCGTCAGCTACACGCACACAGCCACCGCTGTCGCCGTTACCGTACTGTACGGCAGTCCACGTGGGCGGCTGCTGACGCCGACACCGACGCCGCTTTATCGCCGTCATCGCGTCCATAAGCTTCTCCCGGGCTACTGCCCGCGACACAGTCCGTACCATGCGCCGCATGACCGCCGCCACAGCCGCCCCCCGGGTTGCTGCCCGCCGCGCCGCCGCCTCCACGCCGTCGACGAGCCGACTGACAACTCCCGCCACGATCCGGGAAATGGTGGCGGGAGAGCTCCAAGCGGGAGCAGCGGCGTCGGGGGCGCCGCCGACGCCGCTGCCGGGGCGTGTGGCCGCTGCCCCTCCCCCTCCCCCCCCTCCTCCTCCTCCTGCGGCTGCGGCTGCGGCGGCTGCACCGGAAGCGGCCGCCGTGGCGCTATCTGGCTGTTGTGGCCAGGAAGACGAGCAGCAGTAACGGTTGTGGTGTCCATGACCCGTGGGTCCGTCGGTGATGCATAAGGCCCGGCTGAACAGCTGGCAGGTCTCAGCCAGAAGAAGTTCCTTTCGGGAAAACATCGGGGGGAGTTTGTCGGTTTGTTTGTAGAGGGGTAGGTGGCGGCGAATGGCAGTAGTGATAGTGATTGTGATAGATTTAGGGTTTTAGGGGTTTTAGGGTTTTAGGGGTTTTAGGTCTGGAGGGCAGGGGGAGGGGAACGGTAGAGCAAGGGGACGGAGACGGAAAAATTCCCGCGCTCTGCCAGTCGGGTTTAAATTTGACCGCAAATCCTCCAAAAAACGAGCTGTTTTTGTCGCCGCCGCCGCCGCCGCCGCAGCCGCCCCCCTACGTACCTTGGCGCGGCGCATGGCACCGGGATCGATACCCCGGAGGATGAGTGCGGCGCTCTTTCCCGCCATGTCCGCGGGGCGTACACAGTGCTTGATACCGTTGGCGGCGTACGACTCGTCCTCTAATACCGTTACACAGCTGCGACCAAACACACACATACATACATGTATATGTACATATCCTTTAAAAATGTATCTACGTATATGTACACACCACGCATATATGTGTTTATATGGGTGTATGTGTGTACGTATGTGTGTATGTACGTGTGTAGGTATGTGTGTATGTATGTTCGTATGTACGTGTGTAGGTATGTGTGTATGACTGAATATATATCTGTGTAAAGAAAGCGACGCCACATTATAACGCCTGCAAGTTGGGCGTGTACGGCCGAAGGCATGCTGTACACGCATAAACACATTGTGCGCATAAGGCCCCCTTCAACCTCGCTCACTCACTCACCAACCCCAACCACTACCCACCACCCACTTGCACACTCACCCCCGCGGCATCGGTACGAAAAAGTCGTTGTTGGTATTGCCGTACAGATGACCCCCAAAGGACAGTCGGCTGTCGGAAAACAGTCTCACGGAGTAGATGGGTCTCCGGAACCGAACGGCGTCGTCGTAGTGGCTCTGTATGTACGTACGTACGTATGTATGTATATATAAATGTAATTATGGAGGGAACGAGGGGAGCGGAAGGAGGCCCTGGCGACACAGACAGAGGGAACCCCACTCCAAGGGAACCCCAAAGGCCTCTCAGCCACCACATGAAATCTCTCAGCCACCGCCTTGGCTGCCAAGACACCGCCGCCCCCTCCCCCCTTTCCCCCCCCCCACGTCATCAAACGCTCCTCATCCCCCCTCACCCCCTCACCCCCTCCACCAACCTGGATGCCCTCACTGCCGTCGTGGTAGAGGTTGAGGGCGATGCTGTCCACGAAGCCCCGCGGTACGACTCCGCAGCGCACCAGGGGGGCCTCCACCTTAGGAAGGCCGGGTGGGGGTCCTTAGAAGGTGTGAGGGTTGTGGGGGTGTGACCCACGGGTCACCGGCAGTGAGGTACACCGCACAGGAATCGCGGCACTCAGAGAGGACCTTGAAGGGGGGGTTCCCTAGGAGGAGGTGGTGAAACCCTAAACAGATCATCCACTGAAACATGTGAGTGTACGATCCCCATGAGTCCACACAGAAAGATAGAAAAAAAGTAGTCTGACCCATGGGTCAAAATCAGGACCGCGTGCGACCCATGGGTCATCATTGTGAACCACTTATCTGATCCCACGGGTTCAGTGTTCTTGATGTGTGGCCCACATACACACCGTATGTACAAGTAGTTGGGGGCTGGCATGCCCGATGGCTATCTATCTCACTAACGAAGTAACCGCCAACCGAACGACCAACCGCGTTACCTAGGTAGGCACATCAAACCTGCGTGCGCACCAGCTCACCAGCTCACCTGATGCCGCATCCAGCGCAGAGGTGGGGGCACGTCCACCCGCACCCCGCCGGCGATGCGGGCGCCGGGAGCTGCCAGCTGCTCCCGAGTCCACAGGTACCTGTCCCGCACCGTGTGTGTGCGTGTGTGTGGGGGGGGGCGGGGGGGCCGGGGACCGCAAGAGGTTTGTTCCCGGAAGGTGATGCCCCCCGGGGTAATACCCGGGGTAATGAACACCAGACGGGAGCGGAGGGGAGGAAAGCGGGTCCAGCACATGGGGACACACATATTGAAACGCGGAAACCCGGTTTTATTACCTTACCACACTTGGAACAATGAGTCAAATGGCGATGGACCTGCTTCACATGTGTGACATTCACAGACCTGCGGCCCACTACACCGTGAGCTCCGTGAGCTATAGGACCCCACATAGGACTCAACTCCCCAGCCCATTATTTTAGTAATTGTCGTACCGTGCTCCGAAGAACATCTTTGTACGTTTAAGCGCAGCGGCGGCGGCGGCAATGCCGCCGCTGCCGCCGCCGCCCGCTCCGAAGCTGTGGTGGTAGCAGTCCGACGGGAGCAACCCGCGGCGCGCCAGCGTGTCGGTGGCGTCCACTTGGGCCTCCATGCCGTACAGCTCGTCCTGGCGGAACAGCTGCGTGAACGTCACTACGCCTACGGGCAGCAGCCCCGGCGGCGGCGGCTCCCGCGACAGGAACGGCGACGCAGGCGGTACGGCTATCTCTGGCGGTACGGATGTGGTGGGCTGCGGCGTGGCGTCGGCGGCGTCGGCGGGAGCGGAAGTGCTGACGGAGCCGACAGCGACGGATGCCGCCGTCGGTACGATCTTCGTGCCGGCGGCATCAGGTGCAGGGATGGCGGGCGACGCTGCCGGGGTGGCGGCGGCGGTCGAAAGCTGACACCCGCCGGGGCCCCCGGCTGCCTGAGACCGCTCCGCCAGGGAGCCCCTGCAGTCGACACCGTCAGCGCCCCTCGGGACTGCACCGCCCCTCTCATCCTCGACATCGATTTCCACTCCGTCAATGGCAACAGCCGGCACCGGCCCTCGGACTGTCGTACCGGCGGCGGTAGCGGCAGTAGCGACGGCGGTAGCGGCGGCCTCATGGCAGGAATTACGACATTTACGGCATGCCGTCGCGGCTACCCTGGTGTTCGGTTCCCCTGCCGCCGCCTCCGCCGCCGCCGCCGCCGCCGCCGCCTCCGCCAGGTGCCCGTCCGTACTGGGAGGTAGCTCCGTTGCGGCCGCCTTTGCTGACGTCGACGAGGGCAACGGCGGCGTTTCCGCCGCCGCCGTCACCGCCGCCACCTTGGGAGGATTTTGTCCGCCAGGCGGGCCGGTTGCACCGTTCCGAGCAGCGGCGTCCGCCGCCGGCCAAACCTCCGCCGTCGGCTTGCCTGCGAACATACATACACACAGACACACAGCTAAGGTCCGCCATGTTCATCGAGTTTTATTCAGTCGCTTAACAACAAAAATGGCGAAAAACCCTAAAACCCTAAGACAAATAACGGATGGTAGCGGAACTTAAGCCGCGGCAATCCCCCATGTGCATCCGTACAACTTCGCCAACAGCACTCCCACAGCCCGACGGCTCCACAGGACCACAACCGGATCCGTTCAGGCAGCCATAAGGGTCAACGGACCTCCTGAACTCAGTAAAGCAAGCGAAGTCCCCCTCATCCCTCTGTCACCGCAACCCCCCGGGCCCCCAAAAAAGGGGGGGGGCCTCACCTGCGAAGCTCCAATAGTCCGAAGGCAGCTCGTCCGCCCGGAAAAAGTACTCCGTACGGGAAAAGGTACGGCCATCGGACGAATGTACGACTGTCGTACGAGGCTGTAGGTGATAGGTAAAGCTGTCCCTTGTGCCGATGAGGTAAAGTGGCCAGGGAAAGTGTCCAGCCGCCGCCGCGGCTGTCACCGCCGCGGCTGTTGCTGTTGCTGCTGCTGGCGCTGTAGCTACTGCTACCGCCGCCGCTGGCGCCGCCGCCGTCGCCGCCGCCGTGGCAGTAGCTGCAATACTCGCAGCAGTAGCAAACTCCGAATCCCTCCCTAAGACCGCTGTACCGGGCGCTAGTAACTTCCCTGCACCGGCATCGACAACCATGTCGTTAGCACCCGCCGACAGACCGCCATCCACAAGACCCACGGGTCGGTTTCCTGCGGCCGCCACCATCACCGCGTCATCCGCTGCTGCTGCTGCTGCTGCTCCTGCCTCCCGCAATTCCGACGCTGAGGATCTTGCTTCGCCTGTTGCTGCTGCTGCGACTGCTGTCCCCGCTTCTGGTGTTGCCTCGACCACTGTTGCCCCCGCCGCCGCTGCTACTGCTGCTGCTGCTGGCGTGCACGGCGCTAAACGTAAAGGCAGTGATGGCGCCCCCGCCACCGCCGCTGCTGCAGTTGCAGTTACAGTTGCAGATGACGCCGGGGACTGAGAACAAAGCACTGCCGTCCCGCTGGCAGCGCTGGAGGGTACTGGGGACGACGCAGCCGAGCGGTCCTGGTGAACAGTACGGCTTCTTGACGGCGGCGGCAGTAGCGGCGGCGGCGGCGGCGGCCGCAGGCAGCAGCCCTCGGAGATACGGGCCGACAACGCGGCGGCCGTCACCACCAGAGCGGGCAGTCCTCCGGGGATGCGGATGTGGGATGAAGCACCGCCGGGCATGTCGTGGAATGCGTTTCGGTTGTGTACGGGAGCGGTGTCGTACAAGTCCGTACGAGGTGTCGTACAAGTGGCCCACGGTGGCTGTGTGATGTAGGTTGGTTTTGAGGAGGCGGTGGCAGTGGTTGCAGCGGCCGGGGACATGGTTGAGGGCAGCCGCTGTGGGGTCGCAGGTTGCGGGAGAGGCGGGGCCGTACGACGTTGATCCGTAGGTTCTGGAATTGCCGTACCAGGTGGCGGGTTCCAGCCTTGCGCCGGACAACTTGGCGCTATTGGATTCGGCGTGAAGGTCGCCGCCACACTTGAATGACTGGGAGGTAGGAATGGGGGGGCAAAACCGCTGGCGGCGGCGGCGGCGGCGGAGTCAGGTGCCGTACGCAGGTACCTCACCGCGTCCTCTGCTGACGTCACCGTCGCCGCCGACGGCAGCTGTGGCAGTTGTTGCGGCGGCAGTAGCGTGCGTGGCGGTGGCGGCTGTACGGAAGAGGCGGAGGTGCCAGTTGGTGGTCGTGTCGGTGGGATATGCCGTGCAGCGGTTGCAGCGGCGACGGTGGCTTGCAGCAGCTCCGCATATCGCTGAAGCAGAAGCGCCGGCAGCTGCGGCTGCTGATACGGCTCCAAGGACGGCTGTTGCGCGTTGCGATGCTGTAGCGGATTTGGAGGTGGCGGTTGCAGCTGTGATTTCAATAGCGGTTGTACGGACCCCGCCGACACTGAAGCCGATGCCAACGTGGGCGCCGGCTGCTGCTGCTGCGGCGGCGGCGGCGGTGATAGCAGCGGCGGCACCTCAGCCGTTGCTACACTTTGGAGTTTCAGCATCCGCAGCGGCGGCGGCGTAGTAGGCGGCGCCGCCATCCCCGCGGATGATGATGAGGTTGGTAAAGACGGCACAGGCGGCGGCGCCGCCATCGCTGCCTCAGGCGACGTCTTCCGCGCCTCCGTCACCTCCGTCACCTCCGTCACCTCCAATACAGCTGGCGGCGCAGGAGTAACCGACGTCGCCGCTGGGATTGTGGGGAGCTGACCTGACGGGTACGACATCAGCTCCGAAACCTTCATCTTCTCCAGCGGCGATTCACACGTGAGTGTTGAGGCCGGCAGCGCCGCCGCCGCCGCTGCCACCGCCGCTGGCAGCATACCTACAGCAGCGGCAGCGGCGGCGTCAGCGCCTGCGTCTGCCGCTGCTGTCACACCCGGCGACGATGGCGATTGATGCGGGACGGCGGGACCCTGAAGTGGCGCTGATGGCGAGGCAGCGGCGGCGCTGCGCTGGCTCAAGAGAGCCGCGGCCAGCGCACGGTGATAGGCTGTCAGCTGGGTACAAGGTTGCTGCTGCGGCGGCGGCGACGGCTGCGGCTGCGACGGCTGCGGCGAGGAAACCGGCGCTAATGTGGCAGTGGAGGTGGCGGCGGGCGCGGCGGCCCCCAAGCAACGCAGCAGTCCTGCACAGTGCCGTACAACCGACTCGTGGTTCCATTCGTTGAAGCTGTCATGCAGCCGCCGCTCAACAGCTTGTACGGCAGAGTACAACAGGTCCCGTCCTGGTTTGCTTGTACAGCGCCACAGCTGCTCGTCCACGTACAGCTCTAGTCGGCAACAATAGCTGTACAGCTTCAATGGCTTGGCGGCGGCGGCGGCGGCGCGGCCGGCTTTTGGAAGCGCCGCCGCCGCCGCTGGTGCTGCCGTATGGAGTCCCAGCTGGCCCAGCCTGAAAGAAAAAAGTGAGATGTCATTGAGATGCGTGATGTGGTATTGTGGTAATGTGGGAAATATCACAAAATCAGGAGACCGGAAAAAAAGGACGCCAAAAGAAAATGCACAGATTTCGCTCCGAAACCAGCCCGAATTCCTAGAACGGGAATTTCCATGGAGTGAGCGAGCGATAGTTAACAAACATCGTTTCGTACAATAAAACGTGGAAGGACGAGCTTACCTGGCTTTGGTACTGCCGTACAGTCGGTTGTTGACGTGGGCTGTTCGACCCACTAGGGTGGAGGAGGGCTGCCGTTGGGACGCGGCGGCGGCGGCGGCGGCGGCAAGTAGGAGACGTCTCATCACCGCCGCCGCCAGCGTCGCTGCCGTCGGCGTCGGCGTCGACGCAGCGGAGGCGGCAGCTGCTGCTGGCCCGCTGATTTCCTGTACGACCAAGGTGGTTCCGGAGCCGGAATCGGGGCTGGAGCCTTCCGCTGACTGCGGCGGCAGCGGCGCACCTTCCTTTGCGCTGCCACTGCCGCCGCCGCTGCCGCCGACAGGATCATGGACACCCTCCGCG